TAAGCCTCGTTTCTTCTCAAACCGGCTGCTAAATCACTGTATTTCTCGAGCTTATACAAATGATTCTCCTCCATCCGCGACTCAAACGGGACAGTCAACTCAATCAGAATGAGTTGCCGTTTTTGTGCAGAATGGAGAACGATGTCCGGTCGCAGGCCGGTTTTACGGATCAACTCGGGATACCGTTCATGTCCTGGCAGATCAACCGCCAGTAACCAGTCCCTCGCAGAGTCTAGCGCAGATGGAGCGAATGCGTTTTTGTTGACCTTACCTTTTGGAACCTGCCCAGCCTTGAGGAAACGAATGGGGGCGATACTAGAACTGGCTCTGGCATTAGCCCTCATTCTAGCCTGGTCGACAACGGCTGCTAACTCCTTTAGCACCTTGTTGTGGCGCCAGGTGTATCGGCCTTGACCTAGAGCTTTCCTGCACGCGGACAGGACGTGCTCAAGAGTTTGCTTCGATTTGCACAACGGGCAAGTCGGATCGTTGGTCGCAGACCATTTAACCATATTAACACCGGACGGTAATACATCGTACGCCGAACGAACGATAAAGCTCAGTCGCAGCGGGGTCATCCGCCAGATCTCACCCCATGTGAGTATTCTCGGCAATGCGCTCTCCAGGCTGACCCAATGGCCCTGCTGCGACTGTTGGGCTGCTTTCTGGACCCGAACCTCGTTTTCGTTGTCCCTCACCGTTTGTATCACCATGTCTCGGCGCTCTTTGGCTGAGGCCTTTGACCACCAATTGACCTTCCCGTGCCCTAGGCCTCGACGGTCGGTTTGTGTGTAACCCATTACCTCCTTCAATTTTAGTGCGTTCTGAGCAGATTCAATCGCATCGAGGACCCTCCACTTCTGACCAGTCTTTAGAGCGGGCTGGACAGCGATGACATTTGGGTCTGAGGACTCGCGCAGAAGCATGGCGAGCCTAACTTTGCCGACTTTAAACTCTTCTGTTATCGACTTGAACGGAAGTACCAGCTTAGCCTGCTTACAATACAGAGCCACGTCGGTCAGACAAGGCGGTGCACCAATCCACTTTCTTAAGGCTGTATTGATTTTCTTTTCCATGGTTTCCACTGCAGTCATCGTCACCTCGTAGACTAGCAGTGGCCATAGAAGCTTCGGAATCAACATGAATTGGAGACACCATACCTTGAATTTTCCGATCAGCCTGCATCGCTCGATCGCGAGCAGGCCTGTAGCCAGTGACTCATGTATTCGCCGGACCTCCGCTCTGTCAGATTACTTTGAATCGTAAACGCGACCGAGACTCTTCACCGGTTGCTCCAGAACCGTAGGGATCTTGTTCCTTGCCACCGTAAAACTGGTCGCCGACACCTTGCCCCTATGGATTGACAGACTCCTCGACTTCTGCGGTTTGAACTGCATACCGCTCCATTGGACCACCGCGTCCAATCTATTCAGGATCGTGCGGGCAGACTCCTCGCTGCCCGTTATAATAGTCGTGTCATCCATAAATGCGCGCAGTGGCGGCAACCAGTGATCTCCTATTTGAAGGCCCAGTCCGTAGCCGGCCGCCCCGTCTAACATGATCTGCATTGCCATGACAAACAGTATGGGTGAGATCGTACAGCCCATAGCTATCCCAATCTGCAACTCAGTCCACCTCGTGGTAAACGTCGAGGTAGAGAAGCGCAAAGCGAACTTAGAGAAATATTGCTCGACCATTTGAATGATCTGTGTCGGTACGTGAAACATGCGAAGGGCTCGCCACAGTAGCCTATGGGGGACTGCCCCGTAGGCGTTGGCTAAGTCCAACCATATAACGTGCAAATCGGTTCTCTCATGCTTGGCTCTCTGGATAGCCTCCCAAATCATGGTCGCGTGTTCAAGACATCCAGGAACGCCTGGAATGCCACCCTTCTGAACACTCGTATCTATGTACTTGTTAGACATCAGATACTGTGTGAGCCGGCGAGCCATGACTGAGAAGAATATCTTACCCTCGACATACAACAGCGAGATGGGCCTGAATTAGGAAAGACTCTTCGAGTCCTGCTCTTTGGGAATGTAGACCCCATTTGCTTTTGACCACTCTGGACATATGTGATTGCGGATCCACGCTTGTCTCAACAAGACGTGAAGCATTTTTAGGATTTTCGGGCAACGCTTGTAAACGTACGGGACACCGTTCGGACCTGGGGCAGACTTGCCGCTGGCCTTTTTCACAACATCTTCAACCTCAGACCAAAGGGGAGGTACCATTTTAAATGGTACCTTCGGCACCGAAGGCTGTTTGAGACCGCTAAGGATCTCTGGATTGTCATCGAGAGGCTCACTCCTCTTTTTATCAGAGTACATCTTGCGTAGATGTAGCTCAAGTTCTTCCTGACTGACAACCAGAGTCCCAGACTTCGGCTGCTCGAATAGACCTCGGGCAAACTGATACGGGTCCCTAAAGAATTTCTCTCGCTCCCTTTTGGTTCTTCGTCTGTTGTTACAGAAACGCTCGGCACGACAGAGGGCACTGTGTTTGTTCTTTAAATGCAACCAAACTTCATACAGCCCCTCCCGTTCGCTGCCTGTAGCGGCTTTGAACCGTTTTCTGAGGGCATTCTTGTCTGCCCGACACTTCAGAATGTCCCTCTGCCTCCTGCTAGTATTCTGCTTGGCACCCGGCTGTGCCTTAACTACTGTCCCGAACTCGCGGGAGCAGTGTTCATATATTACATCACCAAATTTAGTAAGCTTGTCGCCTAGCGACTTCTTGTTTAGAGTTTGTTTAAGTACCTCACATAATGTAGCCTCCAACTTACACCACACCACCTTCTCGCTCGCAGGTGGAAACCTGATCTTGGAACGCACTTCTTCAGAAATCATCAAAGGTGCTCCTCCGCAGTCGACGTCATGGGCCTCTCCGGGCGAGTGGGGTTCACCCTGCCCGTCGTACCCTGACGACTCAGAAACTGCCACAGGAGTGGTAGTTTTGCGACGGCGTTTACTGCGTGGAGCACCCTCGCATTTCATTCTTCCGGCATGCGTTCTCAGACCGTGCAACCCCGTGAAGCTTTTCCCACATGTACAGAGCCAGCCCGGACGTTGGGCGAGTATCTCAGTCCGGGGGCTAGCAAAGTCGTCACCGAGGGTATCAATTGAATTGGGCCCTTCATTCTCCCCCCCTTTCGGAGGGCCCTGGGGGCATATTTCTTTGTGGTTTAACGCAATCGGAGGTATTATACTGTGTTAGGGGTGATCAACCCGGTCCACAGTCGACATCTGTCTCCAGATGTCAGTTTATCCCCCCGGCGATACCGGGGGGCCAGTCTTTCCATAGGTGTCAAAAGGTCTTTCCCGATAGTCACCAGTCTTTCCTGGTAGTCTTGTGGGCTAGCCACGTACAATAGGAATAAACTCACAGGGAGCAAGTACATCAGGGATCTACCAGTCTCAGGGCTGGTTCCCTGCTGCACGGAATTACCGGATGGTGTTATACTTTCGGCCAGAGACAAGACGACTTGGTGGTTTCGAAGGAGGTACTGTGATCAAAATATAATCAATCTGATTGCGGACATTATCACTAGGACTTTTCCAAGTCCACAATCTTCGAGGGTGGTGTTTAAACCAGGTGTTCCCTATTATCATGCTACGTGATTCAGCCCATGCTATTAATCTGTCACCTCTCACATTCTTTTCTCCTAGGCCATAGCCACCCGTTATTCCGTACACTTTTTAACTTCCTATTTTCGCGTTGAAATCTTCAAGTACCATTGTTACTTCAAAATTTTTGCATTGATCAACAGCCATGTCTAACTCGTCAAAAAATGCGTCAATATCTTTCTCTGAACTATCTGCTGTTGCGGCATAAATCTGTATTAAGTTAATGTCAAACGGTCTGCCGCGAAGTTTTACTAATAGTACTCTATCTGATATTGTCCAAAATCCTTTTACAGTTTTTGAGTTCTTTTGATCAAATTTTTTTAAACTACACAAATTATTTGTCAAAGATTAAAAAACCGCCGCTTTAGAAAAAAAAAAACAGAACCTGGGCAATTGTAAGTTATAAAAACATAAGGACATGGGAAAACTATGGAAGGCTAGGTGCGAAAAATTCGTGTATATGAGTTTTCGAGACATATGTTGAAATGTGAGGGTACGACATCTGAAACGCGATATAACCGAGGACTATATATATATATATATATATATATATATATATATATATATATATATATATATATATATATATATATATATATATACATATATAAGTTGACCAAGACTATGTATGTTCATGGTAACCGAGTACTTGTCTTAAGCGAGTTCGTGTTAACGAAATGTTTTACTTCAAACCCACAAACAACAACAATATGCTGATGTTGGTTTGTGACGTATGTAAAGCGTACACAGCCAACGTTAACTATGCTTGCTTTGCATGCTCATGTTTCTGACACGTTCTCATTGACAAGTCAATATAAGCGTCCGTAAACAAATTTGTACATTCGTAGATTAGTCCGCAATTTTACATGCCAAGACAAAATTAACACCTTATGACTTTACTAAAAACTGTTGGTGTAGTGAAATGTACTCTGAAATTGTGGAAAAAAAAAAGGACAATTATCACAGCACAAAAGTGAGCTGGTGGAAAGACTGTTTTCTCTAATCTATGCCCAAAAGCCAAATGATAGAAATTGTCTTAGTATCGCGGATTCAGTCAAGTCAATTTCACTTGCAAAATTTCAGTTATTTCCTATGCAAGCAGTTTTATAGAGATAAGATGCAAAAGAAAGAAATTTTTAAAACATCACTAAGTTGTGAAAAGAAAACAATTGCAATGAAATTTAATGTTTCAGAGAAGCGCCCGCACTTAAGAAGATCAAAAAATTCAACTAACTCAAACCAAAGTCTCAAAAGACTTAAGGAAAGGGAAAAGTCTGGAGTCATGTCCGTTACATAATTGTGACACTGGTGTTTAATATCATTGCTTTATCGCAGACGGAGACATCTCGTTAACTCGACTGTGAATACTTGCAGATCGGATGCTAGGATACTGGCCCTTTGGTTCCTTTCTTTGTGCTACGTGGATTCTGCTGGATTACGGAATGACATTTGCGTCGGTGTTCACAATTGTGGCTATTTCCAGTGATAGGTAAGGTAAACATCTCATGCAGTAGTCATTTATCATTCAATATGTTTAGATATATTAGACTGTTTGTGACAGACTTAACGGTAAGTGCTAAGTGATTTTTAAGCATATTTTTTTTTTGGGTAATTGTATCATTGTTTGTCTGTGTCGTATGCTAATGAAGATTTTCTAGCCGCAACGTCCCTTTTGTAGCTCGTGTTTTTGATATTGCGGATCTGACCATTTCAACTTGTTGTTTGGACATTTTCCCATCACACTCGTATGCCATTGTCCCCTCTTCTGCAATCGTCTTAGGCAGCAAAGTTTGTTTGAAGTGAAATTTATCTAGTTATTTTGTCTATAGACTCTCACTGCACTGGTTTCAATCAACAATTTCAAAGCTCAGTGTTCTTAATAAAACCCATGTCTAAGACAGGCTATATATCATTATCATTGACCCATTTGACATTTAAATTGTACTCTTTAAACTCTTTAATTCTGTTTCTCTAGTCTTTTCTTGTTCTTTTTTTTTTTTTTTTTCAACTGAACTGGCCTGCTAAATTTAATCTATTCCACCTTGTTAAACAGCATCAAACAGATTCCTTAATGAATTTCCGAAGGACTATTATTTCAGTTGTTCACCTTTGTACAACTTTAGTTCCAACTTTGTGTTTTTTCCACTTGTTAGTTGCGAAATTTTTTTAAAAAAAAACTTTTAGTTTAAAGATTTTCCCCCACCAGGGGGGTGTCGACCCCAAGCCAAAAAAAAAAAAAATGGTTGAAGGGGAAAAACCCGGAAATTTAAAAAAAAACCCAAAAAAACCCAATGCCCTTTTAAAAAACAAAGGCTGACCCAAATGTGCTATAATCGGGTGTTTTTAAAAGTTCTGGCGACTAGCACCCTTAAAACGATGTTTTTTTCCCGGGGGGGGTTCTAGGGTCCCATACTGGGGGATAGCCCCGCCCCTAAAACAAGCCTTCAGAAAAAATCGACTAAATAAAATGTTTTTTTCCCGGGGGGAAAACGGTGGGCTTCTGCCTGGGAGGTGAAGAATCAAAAGTCGCATACAAAAAAGCTAGACCCGGGAAACCCATGTGCATTTCCAAAAAATCCTCTTTTTGGAGGGGATGATCAAAATCC